TGAAGTTTTCCCCCGGCCCCTCCCCTCTTTATTGTCGCTGGTCTAACTTTCTATGTCTCTTGCTTATTTATGTTGTTTGCTCCCGTCTTCTTGACGACCAGCTCCGGGGGGGGACAGGGGACATGGCCACATGTTTTCTTCACCGCCGTGTCCCCAGCGCCTGGCCCAGAGCCTGGTACATGGTAGATGCTCCACAATTGCGTATTGGCGTGAATGAACGGATGAATGAACGAGCGAACGAGCTAGGGCCGTCGCCATGGGGACGGAGAGGAGAGGACGCATTCACTCCAGTGCCATTAGCCATCGGGCCCCTGCCAGCGGGGGCCCTGCCCTCTGGGGAGGCCACGGGCATGTCCTTGGCACCTGACGCGGTGCTCCGCGCAGGGTGGCTTTGCAGATTTGGGAGGCCAGGTCGCATTCCGGAAGACACCGGAAGGCGTGAGGACTGGCTCGCACCCCTCAGCAGATGGTGGCATTCCCAGGAAGCGGCACCCAGAGACGGCTGAGTGAATGGCTGGTGAGCTCCCAGATCGGATTTAAGGGTGTAATTACGAAAGATCTGCAGCAGCTGTTAGACCGAATCAACGCCTGTGAATCTGAGAGAAAAGCTGCCAAACTGTTTGGTTTTGAATGGAGGTGCTTCTCCTGCCTTCTCCCTGTGTGGTTCTGTCGGGGTGGGGAGGAGGCTATGAGCGACATGGCTGCACCCCCCTCCCCCTCCCAGCACCGAGCCCAGAGCCTGGTTTGCAGGGGAGTCAGAAGGCTGGATGGACGGACAGATGCTCTGATGAATGACTCCTGCCGAATTTCAGCCACTCTGGGCCTTAGTGCCTCAGTTCCCAGGAAAATGGGCTTCTTGGCATAAAGTTGCAGGAAATGGGCATTTCAGACTTTGCAGATCCACCCAGGGAGATCCAGCCTGTAAACGTGGCAGGTTCAGCGACAGGGACGTACCCATTGCTGTCCCCATTACTGGAGATCAGACTGGGGTCCTCTGCCCCCTGGGCCACCGTGGCCCCCTGACCTCCCAGATCAGCCCTGTTCCCTGTCTGTCCCCCATGCCGCCCCCCGCCCCCATGATGATTCATACAGATACGACCAGAGAGGTGGCTCGCGCTCCGTGCCCCTTCCTTCTTCAGGGAGCTCTGGTTTGCTTGCCTCTGGCTGTAGAGCTCATACATTTACAAAGAGCGAGCGAGGCCACGCAAGGCGTAGCAGCTGGCCTCTGTGTGAGCGAGCTTCTGAAGTGTTTTGGAAGAGACCGACATGTCTTAAATTAAGCATGACATATGCGATGCATTTAAAGTAAGGTTTTAAGGCGCACATTTCAATCAGTTTCCTTGTGTTTTTTACAGCAGGTTAAGTGAAGCCCTGAGAGTCCTGTGTTTCTAGGTTTGGGAGAGACTTCAAAATGTTATTTAGCTGTTGATTGCAGGGGTTCAATAAAAACCCCCCAAAAAACAAAAAAAAACCAAACCCGTCTCTTCCCCCCCCCCCGCCCCTTTGTTCACTGATGGATTCATTAATTCGTGGATTCGTTGGTGTAGCCATATTTACATACCCGGTATTTGCCAGGCGTTTTAAATGGAAACTCGAGAGGAAGCCCAAGATGTGATGCGGATTCCAGATAACAGAGCCACTGTTCCGGTTAAGAGGAGTACGGACCAAGAGTCTTCTTTCCCCCTTCACTTCCCTGCGGGGTGGCTAGTGAGCTGGGTTCAAGGATCCCAGAGTAGGGCAACATGCGTGCACCGTCGATCCTAATTTGCCAGTGGTCGCTCTGGATGACTTCCTTCCCGGGACAAGCTGTGCAGAGAACTGTTCATTCCACGCTTGGGCAGAGGAGCGGGCGATGGGGCAGGACAGTGTGGGGTTCATGTGATCACAGCTGGTGTCTCTGACCGGGGCCTATCCGGGGCAGTAGAGCACCTCCCTGTAGTCCAGAGACAATGGGGAGGGGCGGGGTGCTCTTGGTGAGGTAGGCAGATTGAGCTCCCAGCTGAGTTTTTTCCAGCTCTTGGGTTCTGTCATCCAGTAGCAACTGACCGATGGCCACTACCCAACTTGCCAGAGCCAGAGTAACTCTTCCTGTGTCCTCGATTGCTTCGTGTCATGAAACTCACGGTACCTGTCCTTATGCAGAATCTTAGGAGCCCGGGGAGCAGAAGAAGGTCTCTTCATTCACCTATTTCTTCATTCCACCAACCATTATTTTATGTATATACTCAGCAATGATGTATTCAGAGCTATGATAGGCCAGGCCGCCGTGCTCGCTTCTGGGGACTCAGGGTGCCCTCTGGGGGCTTGCCACTGGATGGGAAAGACTGAAGGCTCACGCGGCATTCAATACAACCGTGTAACTATGATGAGTCCTGCTGAGGATGTCTGGTGCTCCATGGACATGTAAAATGAAGATTGTACCAGGTTGTGTGTGTGTGTGTGTGTGTGTGTGTGTGTGTGTGTGTGTGTTGGTAGGGGCAGAGATGTTGGAGCTGTGTTCTGAGGGCTGGGCCTGTGTCTGTGTGTGAGTGAGAAGGGTGTCCTGGAAATAGGCACAGCATGTGCAAAGGTCCTGAGGCGGCGTTTCAGGACTTCCAACAATTTGAACTTCCAAGAAGTTCAAATACTTCTTCTGAGCCAGGAGAAACAGCTCCCAAATTAGCCAGCACCGGAGTTCTCTGGTGTCACCTCTCAGCCTAGGGAGTCTTCCGGGATCACCATTCCCAATCCTAAGCAGTGAATACTATTCCTGTGCCCCCATATCCCCCTCTATATACCATGGTGTTTATTACCCAGAGTTGTAATTGCTTCAGTGTGTGTGTGTGTGTGTGTTTCTTACACAAGACGGCGAGTTCCCTGCACGCAGGGGATTTTTCTTGTTCATCTTTGTGCACGTGGCAGGTGCTCAGTAAACATGTAGCAGAGGAACGGGGGAGATTTTTATTGAGCACCCAGCGTGGACTCAGCCCTCTTTCTGCTACAGTATTGAGAAGCCACAAGGAGTGTGCGTTTTCCAAGCTGGAGATGATGCTAACGGATGCAGTTGGAATTCCAAAGCTTTTGTGCTGTCTGTGCACATACTTCCGGAACTGAGGCTGTGGTCCTGTGTCTCCCAGACGTACTGAAACAGCCCTGGGGTGGGGAGGGGCGAGCCTTCCTTCCCCCACCCGCTTCTGCCATGGGAGGGTGCAGCCAGCCCCGTTCGCCATGAGACGGGACACTGTTGGCTTTGTCGGGCAGGCACGCATCTCCAGCCAGGGCCGGCCAGCCCAGGTAAGTGGGCCTGGAGTGTCCAGGAGGTGGAAGGCGCCTGCGGGTTCTGCCAGGGAATTTTCTCTCTGCCTTTTGAATCCCGTTATTGCCCTGTGTCTTATGTCTGGGCTACACGTGCGTGTGTGTGGATCCCAGAGCAGGGTTTCCAAGAGGTCGTGGGGACTGGCTCTGAAGGTGAACGGTCCTGATTTGGGGCAGGACCCGATATGCCTTACAACTCTGCCGTTCTCCGATTCTCCGCATCTCTCCCTCTCTGTTGCCTCTAATGCTGTCTAGACAGCGTTCTCTGGTTTTGGGGAGAAGAAATCTGTTAGCACCATCGAGCGTGTAAGGAAGAGAAAATATCAAAATCTGTCTGCCTTTCTTTCCTGCAGGCTGCTGAGTGAGTCAGAGCCGGGGGCAGCAGAGTGGGGCCCCAGGAAGGGAAGCAGGAGGCTCGCGGTTAACTGAAATACCTTCTACTTTTAGTCCATCTAGATGGGGGCAGGCTGGGGGCAGCCTTTGCAGGGACAGAGAACATGGGCATGAAAGTGGGGGCAGGCTGGTGTGTGTGGGGGGGATCAAGAACAGCGACTTGTCTGGCACTTTTTCAGACCAGAAAGGAATATGATGTGATGTTCAAGAAGGCCTGGTTGAGTGGGGTGAGGACATGAGGTCGAGTTTCAGCTGTGTGATGTCGGCAAGTCGGGTGACCTCTCTGGGCCCTTACTCTTCGTCCTCATAGTGATAGTGATGACCCATGCTTCTCAGGGTTGTGCGGGATTTATAAGAGAGGACAGAGCTCCTAGCTGGATGAACAAGGGGCTTACGCCGGAGCCGCTGTAAAATGCGGTCTGATGATTGTCATACCCACCTCATAGGGTTATAAAGAGGATGTGATTTATAAAACATATGAAGCGCCTGGCTTACCTTGAGGCCCCGCTCCTGGTGAGCTCTGAAGGCAGCCAGCGCGGAATAGGTGTTCGACAGAAAAGAACCCAAAGGCAAACCAAGAAAAACAGCAGGTGGGGTGAAAAAAAAATGGCTTTTTGCTCGAAGGCATCTGGAAGGGTGTGTGTGGGAAGATGGAGATAAGGGATGTCTAGTGGGGCTGGGGACCACTAACCAACTTTGTGACCTCAGGGACTCCAGCTCTTGGTAGCTGTGTGTGCTGGGCCTGGTCCCCTACCCTCGCTGTGCTTGGTGCTCAGTACAGGGTTGTGAGGAGGGTCAGCGGGGATGCCTGATGTGAGCAGGCTCCGAAATGGGAAATGACTTGGGGGTAACAGGAGTGAGGGGACGTGAGGGTGCTCTCCCCAGAGCCTATGCTGGGGGTGTGTGGTGTGCGTTTGGAGTCCCACCTGGGTTCGAATCCCGGCTTTGCCCCTTACTCTCTAAGTGACATCAGGCCGTTCCTTGGCCTCTCTGAGCTGGTTTCCTTCTCTGTATAGCAGAGATAATCCCTTTTTACTAAGAGCTGGCCTTGAGACTAGCTGAGTGGGGAAGGTCCCAGAGAATGTCGCCACCCTTTCCCGACCGTTGGGGCTGGAACCAACTTCTGAGATGGCCCGGAGTTCAGAGAGGTGGAGAGGCCGGCCCCGGGCTTCCCCAGTGAGGTCGGTGGAGAGTTGTCGTCCAGCACCCAGGGCTCTGGCCTCCCGGGCCCATTCCCCCAAAACGCTTTGCTTAGACTCAGACACTGAGATTTAAGTTTATTTTTTTCCTCTCCTTTGCTTTTTTCCTTTTAGTGGTTGCTTCCCTAGTTCGGATGTTCTTAATCCCCATGGATCCACAGCTGTAGCCATGGCGACTCGGGTCGAGGTCGGTTCCATAACTTCCCTGACAGGAGTGCCAGGCCTCGGCGAGATCTCCAAGGAGGAGACCCTGAAGCGGACCTACTTCTGCCAGGCCGGCGATGCCCCCGGGGCGCCCTCAGCGCTGCTCTTGGAAGGAAAAAGCCCCCTTAGGAGCCCGGCCCGTTTACTGCCGCTGCCCAGACTTGCCCCCAAGCCCTTCTGCAGGGAAAAGACCCCGGACGTGAAATCCCTTGTCCCATCCTTGGGGCCTGGCCCAACTAGCCTGTCTCCTCCCTGTGGGCGCTCCCAGGACGTGGTGGCAAAGGACCTGAGCGAGAAGATGCCCAGCTTGGTGGGGCAGGAGGTGGGGAACGGGGAGGGCCTGAGGAGAAGCTCATCGCTGTTCAACAAGGCCACCTTCCCACGGCCCCGATCCAGCACCATGATTGTCTTTGAAACCACCAAAGCTGGCCCCGCTCTGGGAAAGGGGATCAGTGAGGGGGCTCGGGAGGCCACCACGGGTGTGTGTCAGGAGCCCGCTCTGGGCTCCCGGCCTGAGGTGGCCGTCAAGCCTGCCCTGCCTGCCCGAAAGCCTGGGACCCTTCCCCGACCGGCCTCCCTGTCACAGGACATCAAGCCAGCTGCCCCCCAAGAGGAGACAGGCCCAAATGAGACTCTGTGGAAGGCCAGGAGTGTGGAGGACACGGGGGACCCCGCTCTGGAGCCCAAGCCTCGCCTGAGGAGAAGGCCTGTGTCGGCCATTTTCATCGACACCATTCAGCCTCAGAAGCCAGGCCCCGGCGGAGCGGCCGTGATGGGGAAGGCGCCCCCTACCCCGCCTGAGAAGACATGGGTGAGGAAGCCCAGGCCTCTGTCCATGGACCTCACGTCCCGGTTTGAGAGCAAAGAGGCCTTGCTGAAGAAGGTGGCCGACGAGGCCACCACAGGTTCCACTGTCCAGTGTCGGGGGCTGGAGAGGGCCGACCCGGAGCCCAAAGGGGACACGGAGTGTTTGGTCAGAGCAAACCTTCGCCTTCGTGACTCAGACTCAGACTTCCTGGAGGTAGCCAGGAAGACCCGAGAACAGAAGGAGAAGGTGCTTTTCAAGCAGGCGGAGACGGGCAGCCTCAGAACTGCGGGGGGCTCAGCCAGGGACACCCCCACGGATGACCAGCATCCCGGGGAAGAGAAAGCCAAACTGCTCAGGGAGCCGGAGAAGGTGCCCCTGTCCCCCTCACCCAGACCGGGAAAAGACCAAGAATTTGCCGAGGTCAAGAGCAGAGCAGCTGACGGGGAAAGCCGGCTGGAGGGAGGATGGGCCCCCAGGGGCAGCGTCAAGAAGCGCATCAGCCTGTTTGGGGAGGAGAGCATCTTGGCCTTGGCAGCAGAATCTGGACCTCCACCGGCCACCCCTGAGCCCCCGTCGACTGCCCCAGAGCCTGAGAAAGTGGGTGTGAGCGTCCAGGAGCGGATCAAAGGCTGGGCTGCCGAGAGCTCCGAGGCAAAGCTGGAGATCAGGAGGAAGACTTTCCAGGCACGGCCGTTGTCGGCAGATCTGACCAAACTGTAAGTGGGAATGTTCCACGGGCTTCGCTCAGCCCTGAGCTGCCTCAGACCGCCTACCAGAGGCCCCTCAGGAAAGGGAACTGGGTGCCAGGCTCCACGCTAGGCACCTTACAGCCCTCCCTCTCAGTTTACCCACAGCCTCTAAGAGGAGGTGGCCTTAGCTTCCATTTCTCAGACAAAGACCTGAGGTGCAGAGAGGTAACACAGCCCCCCTCCAGGTTCGGTGTATGCCGGCAGCTCCATTTCCTTGTCCTTTTTCCTCTTTACACTTTGCAGTGGGAGGTATCATGCCCATTTCACAGAGGCGGATAGGAGAGGTGAAGTACCGTGAGGAAGTCCAGAGCCCCATGTAACTCCAGCACAGCCTGGGTCCCTGGCTCAGCTTGCCTTTCCAGAAGCCTGAGGACATTACTCTATGGCCTGAGCCCCCATGAGTGGCCCCCAAGTAAAATCAAATGGGTCAAGATAGCTTGAGCAAGTCCCTTCCCCTTTTGAGCCTTGGTTTCTTTGTCTTTAAAACGCAACCCTTCCTTGAAGGATTAAGGCAAAGGCTCACAGATAACGCTGTGACTCACTCTGCCCACGGGAAGCCGTCACTACGTGGTAGCTCCAAACGACACGATGAATCCTGTTAGTTGAGGATTTTCTAAGCTCAGCCGGCCTCTGCTATCTCTTGCTCTTTTGCTTTCCCACAAGTGGCTTCCCGGCTTCAACAGGGAGATGCCACTGGGTGTGGCCACCAGGTCCTTAATGATACACATGCCACTGACATACCTTTGTCAGGTCGGAGCTTCCAGGGGTCACCTCTGGGCCCTGGGAACCAGGGCAGCCAGCTGGGCCACGGTCAGACCATTGGCTCTCAGCAGAGAGAGAAGCATCTGGAACAAAATCCCGAGGCCTGGGGCACCCCTCCCCCACAAACTCGAGATTCTGATTCCATTGGTCTGGGGAGGAGGTTCATATCCTGGTTGTTTGCAAAAGCTTCCCAAGTGATTGTCATGTGCAGCCAGGCCCGAGTTAAGATAGCAGAGAAAGAGGCGCCCATCCCAGGGACCTCACACACCTTTTCCCGTGTCCTCCCAGTGCCTCGGATTATTCTCATCTGACAGATGGGGAAACTGAGGCTTGAGTGTGGGAATAACTCACCCACGGCCTCATGCCTCCCGGCAGGCAGACCCTGCAGGACTGTAGAGTGGGACCAGGTGAAGTGGTTTATTTCTCTCCCCTCCCTTGTCTCTGCAGCCCCCAGCCCCGAATTCATCATTAGACATCCATTCCAAGAGCTCTTCAGAGATGGGAACATTCTAGCACCAGAATACCCTTTCTTTCTTTTCCCCTTGACAAGTGGGGAAACTGAGGCCCAGGGAGGGACGATGACTTGGCCAAGCTTACCCAGAGAGGCAGCGACAGGCCCGTGCCCCCACACATTCCATGACGACCCACCACCCCCGAGTCCCGTGGCAGGTCTGTGGTGGGGCTTCTGGTGTGCCTGGGATTGCTAACAACAACCATTAATTATCCCTCCTGGGGCATCTTTACTCTTCCCTAAACGCCCTCACATAGCTATTAGGGCCTTGGGTAGCAAAAGACAATGGGGAGGTGTTAATTATCCCCGTTTTATAGATGAAGAGACAGAGGCTCAGGTGAAGTCACGAGCGCAGCCCAAGCTCCTGCAGTGGGGAGACAGTGTAGCCAGGACTGACACCCAGGTCTCTTCACCCAAGCCTGGGGCTCCTGGTGCCCCAACGATGTTGTGTTTAAGGTAAGCCGTCCCCCACCGGGCCCTTCTGGGTTTGGCGAACGGAAAGGACGCATCTTTTCTCAGAGCAAACCAGGCGGTGTTGCTTTGTTGATCTCAATGCTAATCTCACCCCTGGGTTCGTGAGCTAGTTACAGGGTGTGGGCTGGAGGGAGTCACAGATTCTGGCCCCAAACAAGTAACGTGGATCTCTGTACCAGGTTTTCGAGTCCAGCGTCAAGCAATGAAGTCAAGTATGAGAAGTGTTCTGAGCTAAGTGGCGAGCTTCCTAAGGAACCTGGAGAAAAGGTAAAGAGCCCCCGGGTTTGGCACATCTTGTTTTCCAGTGGGTAGCTTCCCTTACTGGAAAAAGAGCCCAGGAAAGAATCAGAAGCCTCTCATGAAGAATGAAACATTTTTTTTTTTTTCTTTAATGCCGGGACTTTTCAAGTCCCTTTTGGGTTTGTGATTCTGCACTCCTTAGTGTTAAATATTGTTTACAAATGTAATTGCCAGGTTTTATTTTTTTTTCCTGTGCAAAGAGCAAGAGGGACCTGGCTTTTTTACGTACGAATGCCTGCTTTATTAAGAAATTAAAATTTAGGTTAAAACTGTTCATAGAAACTCCTTCAGGTTCCCTCAGTATGGTCCCTGTTCCCTTCCCTACCTTGGCTTGTCACCTAGCAGTAGCAGAAGGAGGGAAACTACCAGCAACTAAATTGCTTAAAAGTATTTTTATTTAATCTTATTTAATAAGGAGAAGCTCATAAAATAACTACTAGGTCTAACCCATTTGTGGTTGATGCCTCCTGCGGGGTTTTAATTTTTTTAAAACAGCTTTTTTTGAGGTATAATTGATGTACAGGAAACTGGACCCATTTCGAGTGTGCATGGATGAGTTTTGACATATACATGTGCACTGGGCGAAAATGTATCACCATCAAGATACAGAACATCTCCAGCACCTGCAAGTTTCTTCTTTTGTAACCACTCCTGGCCCCTCCTCCTACCCTCAAACAGCCACCAATCTGCTTTCTGTTCCTATGGCTCAGTTTGCATTTTCTAGATTTTTTCCTAGATTTTTCTATAAATGCAACCAGTGCTTTTTTTTTTTTTTTTTTTGATCTCTCTTCTTTCACTCAGAATAATTACTTTGAGTTGTGTCATGCTGTATGCATGTTTATCAATAGTTTATTCCTTCTTGTAGCTGAGTAGCATTCCATTGTGTGGGTAGACCATGATTTGTTTATCTCTTCGCCCTGTTGATGGACATTTGGGTTGTTTCCCATTTTGGAGCTATTGCTCTGAACATTTGTGGGCAAGGCTTTGTAGGGCTATCTATTGCCTTTTCTCTTGGGTAGATGCCTAGGAATGGCTGGGTAGTATGGTAGGTGTAGTTTCACTTTTTAAGACACTTATGCGGACTTTTAAACACCAGAGCTTGGTGGCAAGCGCGTTTGTACCCCGGGAGCTGGATCTTAAGGGCAATGCCACCACTTCTGGGGGCGGGGGTTTGACCTGCTTTTTATCCTTGGATGTTCTGAGTCACTTCTTTGAAAGCCGTTGAGAATGGGTCCGGTTGACGTAAAGCCTCTTACAGTCACATTAAAATGGTATAGTGGTAACAACAAGAACAAAAAGGACCCTGTGAAGCAAGTGGGACAAGCTGCTGGTTGTCCTTGAATTGAGGGAATGGGTTGGGATGAATTTATTATTTTCTCTATAATTTTGTATGTGTGAGAAAACTTTAAAGAAATGAAAGTTACTAAAGGAACCCTTGCTTTATTTAATACAGAGATTTGATCTCTGTAAACAGATATTTCTGTCGGTAATTTTTTTATTGTAGTAAAAGACACATAACATAAAACATACAATTTTCATTTCTTTAAGAACAATGCATATATTTTTAAATTTAAAAAGTCTTTATACATATGTATACACACATATATAAAAATACACACACACACATACTAGGAGAAAGTTCTGGAAAGTTCTTCATGGATATACTGCTCCCCATTGATAACAGCTGTTATCCAGGAAGGGCCCTGGTATTTGGATATTTGAAGTCTCAAAAAGGACCTGAGCTTTGTATTGTTTAGAGGGAATGGATTCGTGTATTATTTATGCAATTTTTATGTAATCAAATGTAAACAAAAGCTTCAAATGAAAATATCTTTTCAGTTCTTTAATGGCATTCCATCATCTGCAGTAGAGATTAGCAAACTGTGGCCCTGTATGTATCTTAACCATTTTATTTTTATTTTTTTTTTAAGGTTTATTTATTTGAGAGAGAGAGGGAGCATGAGGTGGGGAAGGGACAGAGGGAGAGGGAGACAAGCAAACTCCCCGCTGAATGGGGCTCGATCCCAGGACCCTGAGATCATGACCTGAGCCGAAACCAAGAGTCAGATGCTCAACTGACCGAGCCACCCAGGCGCCCCCATCCTAACCATTTTAAAGTGAATAATTCAGTGACATGAAGTGTATTCTCAGTGTTATACTACCACCAACACCATCTAGTTCCAGAATTTATTTACTTTTACTTTTTTCTTAATTTTTAAAAAATTTTTAAATATTTTTATTTT